GGCGACGTTTTGAATTTCTGATCAACAATGCACTACAATCAATCAATCAACCCGCTCAAAAGGTTAAATATGTAAAATACCTGGAGAGGTCAGCCGAACCGCAAGGAGATTACCTTACCTGCCTTGATTGTCAAAACAGATCGCCCGACATTTCAAAATTTCCATACGCTTTAATTAAGTTTGGCTTCCAACTTCAGATCAGCCGAGCTGCTGGGTCCGTCCGCCTAGTAGACTACATAAGACCGAAATGTGCACTTGCAGCATCAAGGCTACTAAACGAGGGTTTTTTTTACTCCAGAGTGACCGCCACCGAAATTCTGGTTCTTGAATGTATTATGGGTTCAAACAAGTTTCAGTTAGGAAAACTAAGTGGAGCAGGTCTGATCGAGGGGTTCAGAAGTCCAGGTAACTCCGAGATATCATCTGTGGCTCGACCGATTTTGAATTTAACAGTACCAGAAAACCCCTTGAGGCGAAACCGAACCAAGCAAGGATGATGGTGGATGAGTATCAACAGTGAACAATTAAAGGCAGACCTCACAGACCTGAGAAACAGAATACAGTTACGTGCCCAGGACATGACCTTCCCCACGAAAAACTCTAACATTGTGCATCATTCCTCAACAAGAAGGGGTTGTCACGAAAGAGAGACACGGGTATTGTGGGACAATTAACGGCCTCAAAACCAGTAGGGCGTAGGCATACTCGAGGATGAGCTAGACTGCCAAAAGCGTCCCAGATTATAACGATGAGAACTACACTTACTCTGCATCGACAGAAACGTCCACACGGTCAATACGATGCTTTCCCATCTTGCGAACTGGGACAACCTTGCTCTGATTGCTTTCCTCACAGGATTGCGTGACGTCGGCGGTAGAGTTGCTGAGAATAGAGCGAACAGCGCTCAGCATTGCATAAAACGGTTTGCTAGCCGCCACAGCAAGCAGTCCTTCAACTGGGACTGTCTCGGCTGAATGGAGCTGTGTTTCGATAGAATTCAACAAACAAGTGACTGCCAGAAGTAGACGTTCTCGTGGAGGAGTGCTTAAATCTAACTGCAATAACGGATCATCCTGTGAATTCTCCAGAGTAGAGGTATCTTCGTCAACAGGTGACTTCGGGACAGCATTGATTGCCAGGCGAATGCACTGCCACGCCAAAGGACTAATATCAGGACGTGCACTCGTGGCGAACACAGTGAGTGATTCGCGCCAAAGCCGGGATATCAACCCCGGTGCCTACAAGTAGAAGACGTTACAAAAATGAAACCTTTCATGAACGATAAGAGTGGAATTCACTGATTAACTACACCAAACTGGACGATACCGCTGTCACAACTTTTCAGATGCGCCTTTAATAACCATGTAGATATCAAAGTCCGAAAAAATGTTGTCTACACTTAACAGTGAGGTGGGTCTGTAACAGCGAGGTGGCTCAGGTGGTTAGAGCGTGAAGTTACTGACGGGAAGGTCCGTTGTTCGAAACCCGACCTCTGCCTCTCGACTTCCCCTGTGTAGGTTAGGGCAACCTGACAGTATCCCAGCCCTCGTGGTTCCTTCGAGTAGCATGGCAGCTAGGCCCCGGAAGGGTGTTACAGCTGAACGACGAGCCTGTAACAGCCTTTGAAATGACTTTAGACGAGAAGCTTGTTTTCCATATTTGTCCACTCCATCTCCCTGTTTCAGTATCACGGATAAGAAGCCCGAAATAAATGCAATTAAAAAACGAATTTGTTTATCTGTGGGGAAGTACACATGGAGCCAGCAAACGGAACTAGCTCCTCCACAACAGTAGTCTCTCTGAAACCCACATTTTTATACACGCATGTTTTTAGCCCAGTTGTTTCTAGTCGCACGTCAACCCATAGGGAGGCGACACTTTTGCTTTTTGTTTCTTAACTTCAAATCGTTTGGCAGCGGCATCTCCTTCCACGCAATGTGAGGAGAACATGAAACCCACATAAACTCTCGGGTAACCCGTTCCCTAAAAAGGTGAAATCTCGTGGAGAAAAACTCGTCAACGGCCCAGAAATGGGAACATCGCTAGAGCTGTAGGCTGTTCACCGTATGAGGACATATTTTGATGCATACCCATGGAGGGGACTCGTTCGAACAATGGCAGTTGGGAAAGGGTTAAAAATAGGTATCAAGAGAAGCAATTTGCATCCTGTGATCACGGCACAAAGCCTTCAGTCATTGAACGTAGTCGAACAAAACATGGAAGAATCCTACAAGACGGATAACCAAATGCAGACTAAAAAGTGAGTCTATGACAAAAAAGGATCTAAAAAAATATGACATACCATTTTACTTGCCAGACCCGTGGAAAGGTAGATCTGCAGTGCGTACTCCCGGTCCTAAGGTAGATCTGCAGTGCGTACTCCCGGTCACCCTCGTATGGACTGCAAAGCCCAACGAAAAGGCGACTGGAAAACTGCTTGATACCAGCGGAATCAAGTGTGAAATCGCAGGAATCGTCTTTCGAATCGGAAAATCCAATGTCAAGTGACAACCGGGCTGCTCGACCGAATAATCCGAGGGTATAATCGTTGGCTGTAGATCCATAGGCCAGGGTGCAACAAAAGAGATAGAACTAGACGTTATCCAGTAAGTATTATCTGCTGGCGATTAAAGAATTTGAAAAGTTTGATACCCCTAATTTTAACAGATAAGATAGTGAACAACATGGGAAAGGGTGGGAGGGGAAACGGTATTTTCCAGGGGAAAATAATGCAAAGGAAAGGGGAGTGACTAGTTCAAAAACAAGTATGAGTTTGTGGTTAGTTTCGAACCAGAGGTTGCGTAGTGGATTAAAGGAAACCAAGACCGTAAGTGCAGCCTAACAGTGAGAATAGTGTAGGCAAAAAGCGGCAGATGCAACAGTGTGCGTTCACCAGCAAAGCTAAGAGAGAAGAGATTCGTTTCCTGAGAGACTAGCACACGGTATACAAAACGGATGCCTTTCAAACAACGCTTTCTATTGTGTCATCTCAGATGGACATTGTCATCATCATCGTCATGCGTGTGTATCGTACAGTGGTAATTGTTGCCACAGTTTTGTTGGTTGATGATATTGGAAGATAGGAGCAGGCGGTTTAACTAACGCGTGAATCCAGAAGTGATAGTAGGCTTTCCATTAGGGAGGTCAAGAGGGCAAGCAATGAAGTTACCAAGCTTGGATGCACGGAAGCCACTGCGCACGCGACTAGGTTATGTCTGTCCGCCTCCCTAAACACTAATGTATCCTGTCTGGGGGTTGCCATTCTGAAAACCGGCAGTGACCAGGGCAATTGGGTTTGCTGGTAATGGCTTTCACACTTCCCTGTCAAGTCATTGCTTGACCCCTGGTTCGTTTCCACTCTCTAATTGGTTGTGTGAAAGGGGCTATCCGAAGAATTTGTTTGACTGGCCTATGAAACACGTGACCAAGCCAGCGCAACCTATGGAATATGTTCAGCTGATCTATCGTGGGTAAGTTAGTTTGTCCGAAATCCATTCGATGTACCTCAGTGCTACTGATCCAAGGTTACCACCAGTCTCAGGCACTGCTCCAAACACTTAAAAACGTTTGACATCCTCAGCACGCATAGGTTAGATTTCTGACCACTATGACAATGTAGAGCGCACCGCGGTATTGTAAACCCAATCCTTAGGAGATGGACTATACCATAGGTGAGGTGTATGACAAAGACTGCTCTGGCCATCCGGATTCGGTTGGAAATATCACCTTCAGCTAGCCCACGGGGACCGATACAGTTGCCCAGGTAAACAGATCTGTCTACTAGCCCTTCAAGCGTGGAATTTGGGTTTGGTCCTGTCCAGCTTTAAGACGAACAATTAAGGTTTATGTTTCGTTCGTTCGAAGTTCATAACCCATCTTACCGATCGGTGGCTTTGTGAATCAATTACTGGACTGTCTTTTTTCACTTTTGTTCCAATGATAGCTGAATCACAGAACTTATCTCCCCGTAGACTGCATTTCTCCACCAATCACGTAGAGCTTAATGACAAGGTAACTACGATACTCATAGCAAGGCTTTATTATGAATTTTTGTAAAGGCCTAAATCCCTCATTGGAAGCACATGAACGAGAAGCCACATTTGCTACTGTAGTGATCTCGCGGTTGAGAGGAAATGCATCCCAAGTTATCCTCTACGATGAAACCTGAGGACCTTGAGATAATTTAAATTCGACAAGTCAGCTGTAACTTTGGCTCTCGTCAAGACCTCACGCCTCAGGTTGAATTGTTCTTAAACGTGTACTAACTTATGTTTCAGTCAACAGGGAAAATGTGCCTGCAAATGAAATAGGTATTTCTGCATCAGGGGGCTCTGGCAGAACGACGATGTAGTTGTGTTCAGCGCCATCAGGTCAGGTGGTTAGCTCGCAGATCTTTGCAATTGGCTTGCAAAAGCTTCACGGCCATCCGAGGAGATATTGTCAATGCTTTATTGCATAGAAAATGTTGAAATACCTAAATCACCAATGTTATGATGGTGTTAAATTCATGGATGAATATGACGTGGAGGACCTCTTTTAATTCTTAGATGTCCACCATTCGATAAATGGAGGGAATCACCAAACGCATGTAAAGTTTCACAGGTCAATCTAGACTGGACCGCAGCTAAACTTCAAAAGTTGCTGCATTATAAAGATTAAAATCAATTGAGCTCGCGATTAACACTCCCTTCATTTCATGATTAATGTCTACATTCCCGTCCAAGTAAAATATGGTCTCAGGAGTGACCTGTAATCGTTGTAATCAGTTGATTTCCACGAGCGTGTTCGTTTGTCCACAAGTTATCTTTCCCTAACCATGAAATTAACTGCTTATGGACGGCTGATAAGCTAGCGCAAAATCCAATATATTTTGTCATCATATTTCTCATTAGTCTCGTGAAATTTGCGCAAGGTGGTGGACATTTGAAATATACAGGCAACCGACCAAAGTCCGACTCGGAAGTTGGTAGGTAAACAAACGCGAGAGACAAACCTTTATGATTCTCACCAGCAGATTCGTCGAGCGCTATTGCCAAGTTATATAGCCCACTCAGGCTGAGTGACATTCTAGCTGCGGGCACACCGGGGTATAGTCCTTGAAGCAGAAGAGCAGCCAGTGGGAGAAGCCGGTGCTAAAATGATGAAAAAACTTCATCAGGTATGACTGACGCTCTAGCTCACTGCAACAGCCGATAAAGTAGGAAGCACGAGCTAACAACTAGTTCAACTGAAAAACTGAGTTTTCCGAGAAGCTTGGTATTAGTCGGTAGATTTATTGCTGGGCAACGTTTCGCTTTTGACACAAAAGCTTCGTCAGGCCGTGACTAGATTACGAGGTTGATCGAGAGGAAGGAGAAACAATCAGCTAAGTCAAGGTGAATCTTATTGAAAAACTGATGAGAAGGCAGACCAAGTGACTAGGTTACGAGATTGGTCGGGAGGGAGAAACAATCAGCTAAGTCAAGATAAATGTGATTGAAAAAATGAGTTGTTTCAGCCTGATGAGAAGGTTCTAGTCTAAGCTCATTGAGAGGATTCAAGCGGAGGGTTGAAATACATAGCAAACTACCCACTCAAACATCAAGACTTCATGGCTGATGTTGCTTCGTCTGAAAGAGATCCCCAAAAGGGTAACATAATCTAAACACTCTCCGTGGTGCACCCGAGTGTACCTTCATCAGTGAAATCTGACGTTGTGCGTATAGATATGATTTTGCGGTGGAACCAACCGCGTCTGGTAAGCAATTTTGGTCCACATTTTCAAGACCTCTTTTTGACCTTAACAGGAAGAGTTGCGCTCGCAGAGCTGCACTGGTACTCCTTTGAAATGAACGAAAGAGGGCAAAAGTCACTGGATAAATATGGAAATCAACTTCTACGGCAACGAGTAGTTTCTGCGGATTCTGTCAGCAATCGTAGACGGGTTTTGCTGTACTAACTCTCTCATCTTGGCCGTAAGCAATGACTGAACCATGAAGTCCCTGCAACCAGCATCTTTATCAACAAACTATTCTTCATCACCATGAGCAACAACACCAGTGAATCACTTCAACAGGAGCAAGTCCCAATGTGAGGATGACACAGGTAAATATTCAAGGCTAGCCTACGAAACATTCGAAATTAAAATTATCCGTCTTCGAAAAGACAAGCAATGTTCGTTGGCCACTTCAGATGGTCTTTCGCTCTCGCCTCCTTACAAACCAAACATCCAAACAATCTGGATGAAAAGTAATAGTTATTAGCATGTACGCTTATTCAGGTCTCAGTCTTAATTGTGAACCGTTCCAACGCTACCCAGTATATTGGTGTCCTCCCCTACATTAGGATGTCAAGCCACAACTAAAATATTTCAGAAAAACAACACTCTCTTCGATAGAGCATCATTTGGTATCAGTGGAGAACGGACGATCTACCGCAGTTTGTATTGTTAAATGTGATACTCGAAAGAAGCATCTGCTGCATCGCCAGATGCTGGTATCGCAAAAAGCAAGCTTACATTAGTTACAATTCGGCAATATCAGCGGCAAAATAGTGGAGCATGCCTAGGAGCCTCCGCTCACATAGGCTCCTCTCGCAAAGGCAAAACAGGACCTGTACTGTCCACGCCGAAAACGCAATGACAAACCCAAAAGGTGAAATGAGCCGGCGAGGAAATACCTCAGATTCTTGTGCTGATATCGGTTTTCACTCTGCCAATGGAGATTTGCACAGGCTGCCAGATACGCCCACCCCAAACTGCGCATGTTGAAGCAAAACTCTCTATTGCAAAGCCCAAAAGTTCTAGGTGAAATGGGCAATCGCCTTTCGAAAGCCGTGCTTCATCCTCCATCTATGACCATGCTGGAAAGTTAACTTTGATAACACCCTTCTCAGCTTACAGGCGAAATGGCCAAACGATATGGATCTAGGCTTACTTCTTTTCCATCTAACCCTCAACCCAAAGTTATTGACCACCGTCAGTAACAAATCTGAGATAAAATGCACTCAACAGTGGTCTATGTATTCGGAGAAGAAGCGAACCACTTCATCGATGACGTTATCATGATGTCAGCCTTTGTTTGAAGGGCGCATAACTAATAGTTACATGCAGTTGGTTCAAGTCTACAGCACCGACCTGTTGATCAGACATTTTAAAAAATTCACTGCCTATTTGTCTATGATCGTCAGTGCATCCGAGTATCGCATAGGTTATATCGAGCATCGTAAGCGCAACAACGAAGTCTACCAGCGGGTCTTCGAGACAGGTAGACTCCGCGAAACTCCAAATACAATCGTCTCCAAAATATGTGGCTTAGCTGGTTGGGACGTATTCCCGAATGCTCACCCGTCGACTGCTTGGGCGCGTGTTTCTCACAAGACTGAGAAACAACCGAGGAAAGCCATTTGAAAGCCGCAAAGCGACACAAAGTCGAAGTCTGGAGCATTCACTAAAGAACTTAGCCATGATAACTGTTGTTCGAAGTATTCGGCCCAACAGTCGAGGCCTTCTTCTTTACCCAAGATGGTCATTCCATTTCGATCTTGAAGGTTTCACTCACAAATGGCTTCCGGAGACATTATATATATATATATATATATATATATATATATATCGTTCCAAAATGATAATTTTGTCAGCCTACTCGACAGAGCTTGAGCTCTGAAAACTAGAATCTCTGAGATCCTACGGCGTCCACCTGACTTCATTAACAATGACGTTAAAACAAAAGGTGATCCGGAGATATTTTAAAGCGCGAGTCATATACTCTCACCCTCAAGGCCAACCTCGTTGAGTAACTGTGGTGAGGAAAACCGATCAGGCAGTGGGAGACTACGTTGGAAGACAAAACCAATAAAAGTGTGCGTCTTAATGGAAAAAATTACCCATCAGGTTACTGAAAACTCTTCACTTTTCCTGGGGCTCGTCATGTAGGCGTCTGTATCAACCTTATGTTCCAATTTAACACCAAAATGTGCGCAATGGAGAAATACTGTGATTTGTTAATTAAGTTAGCGTTAACGGGATAAACAACTGAGTCCTAGATGAACTGCCCGTTTATGACATCCGGGTCCTCTGTTCATATGCCATCGGCCCAATAGCTGAAGACGTGAAAATGTGATCCATGCACGTACACGTTCATCATGTATCACAATATGGTCACCTGGTACTTAAACAGCAGTTGGCTAACCAGTCTGCACCGACATTGTGAGCAGTATCGAAATTTAAATTCGATAACTCGAATATCGTGCAAAATGAGACATGAGCCGGCCGATCGAAGAATATAGTAAAAAACGAGATTCAGGAGAATTTCAGCTTAGCCTTAGGCCGACACGAACTGAATTCGCAGATCAGTTTATGAGTCTATATGGTTAGTCTGTTTTCCTAGAACAATTTCTGCAGTTTTGGTTACGCAGATTAAATAAAGGAAATCCATCCACCTGTCACTTTTCGGCGTTCATGAAGCGACTGGACCTTACCGTGGAGTGACGGTTTGCGAACCTCAGCGTCCCCGCGACACTCAGAGTCTCTCATACCAGGTTGGTCAATGGTTAGAGGTCTGACGAACACAGTCTCCTGGCCTTCCAGGTTGGGGGTTGGGACATGTGGCGAGTTGTTCCGTAGAAATGGTAATGCACTTGCATTTCCCGCCAAACACCGCTGTCTTGCGGTTAGGCTTTTGAGCCAAAGGCTTTGGTTGGGGACTTTAATCGTCCTCCTGTCTAGGTGTAGGCGCCCTGGCAGTATCCCAGCCTTCGTACAACCATGACATTCACAACTATTATCACTCTCATACCACATCGGCCATGTAGTTTTAAGAAAATCTGTTGCATACTGGTAGGCCAAAAACCGGGTTGTTTCAGCGTAGGAACATGTGCGTTCAAAAGTACAAATGTCTGGAAATACAAACCACCATTTTTTGGTTAACAACGTATTTGATCTAAACAGGACAATGAGACGTTGGCATTTCTCTACAGACCACAGAGAAACTACCGACAACTAACAGAATTTATATTATTGGTAATACCTGGAATATATGAACTACGTCAACGTTCGTTGAAAAAAACTAATTATTCAACGATGCAGTTCGTCCTAGGTCTACTATTAAATGATTGCACTTAAGTGAGCTACAGGGATCCGAATATATGAACTACGTCCACGTTCGTTGAAAAAAACTAATTATTCAACGATGCAATTCGTCCTAGGTCTACTATTAAATGATTGCACTTAAGTGAGCTACAGGGATCCTGCGATATTCATGTCCCCCTCCATTTTTTCTTAAAGAAACTTCTAAAGTCTGTAAGACAGGTACTGTCAGACGTTGTTAGTTGATAAGGTGGCAGTTGACCTATTTCCCGTGTGATCGCTATTCGAAAAAACAACATCAGTGCGAGCGATCACAGTACCATAAAGTCCAAGCACGAGCGAGAGACAATCATGGAATACGTGTAACAGCCAAACTGTGGAGAAAACACGTTCCCACCGTCCGGACTTTCATCAAGGAACTCTCACATACGATAAGTTCCTTTATTGACTTGCTCCCATTTCGCATTGTATTCATTTTTATACGTGTCGCAACCACACTAAATATCTCTATTAGTGCACATACGCCTTCTGAATTGCATTATGCTCATCATCAGCTGAGCATTTATTATTATAATGTCCAAGCACACTTTAATGAACAACCGTTGAAGCTGCAGGTGATACACACACAGGGGTACAGATGGTCTCCAACCTGAAACTAATTTCCAGAATACAGGAACAGGAGGTAGCACAAAAACTAAACCGTATTTCATTCGGCCAGTCTAAACAACGTAATCATTCAGCACTCACCCTGGGTTCGAATGTGCTGAGGGGTTCCGTTGAATCCAAAGTATTCTTTGCCTTCGCTTTTGAAAAACCTCCAAGCAAACCCTTAGCCACCTGCGCAAACAAAGATAAGGACTATGGTAGAGAGTTTCAGCAGAGGACGCTTGGAAATAAAAAATAAGGCAACACCTGATTTCCTGATCTGTGGACTACGGTGATGGGGAATCATTTCTGAAGTCTGTAGAGCTATACAGGCGATAGCAGACGAATTTAAGTACAGGTGTGAGGCTTTGGGAGAGGGGATTGCAAAGAGCTCGCCGTACATGTAACATAAACCGCATAGTGGTGGTAATGCTGATACTTATCGGTGGTTTGAATCTAACGAGTCCTGAGCTGAAACTGAACACAACTTTGGACAGAGATGTCTGCAGTGTAACTAGGGAAATCCCAGTGGTTAAGGTGCGAGACCGGGAAGTGCGTGGTTCGAACCCAACCCAAGCATCTCAACTGCTTCTGTCTGTCTGACAGTATCTCAGCCCTGATGCCTCCTTCTGGTGGCATGGCCGCTAAGCACCGAAAGGGTGTTATAGCTGAAGGACAATCGTTATTTACTACTATTTTCTGCGGAATGCACCAACCCGGAAGTACAGATAGCTGGTACATATTATAGCGACAGAGTACTTTTCTAGGGATAAGTAGTAACCTTTGTGGTAATTGGGACAGGAAAGTTCAGCATAAGGAAATTTCGAACCCCAAAACACTGACAGATTCTGGTGCGATATGCATTTTTTCCCACTAAGGTTTATTGAATGTTGGTTCAGGGCCGAACACCAGGTGTTGTGATGTATGTCCGGGAAAACTTTATGAAATTTATGAATATTCCCACATGCTGTCATTCATTTATGCAGACTGGGTGTGATAATTTCAGCGCTCAACCACACAAAGTCCAACAATGCATCTTGAATCTGTTAGCTCAGGTTCTTAAGAAAAGGACATTATTCAACACCACCGTGTAAAGCGCCGCTAGACACACACCACCACACACAACTGCACTTTCCGAATGAATTCTTTTCGCATTTGAACTAGCAAGCTCAGATTTCAGTCACTGATGGCGGTACAAGAGAAACACTTAGCATCGATGCTAAAAGTAAGTGCAGAATTAAAGGGTTAATAGTCGAAAACAGCAGCTTTGAACATGTTATAATCATTCTACACAGAATATTGAATTCAGGTCATTGTATACATATATATCCAAAAACGCTATCAAAGTAGGACAACCTGGAAATGATCAAGACCTTGGTACAGTACACGCACCACGTAGATCACGTAGCTGATCTGCTGGCGAACGGATCGCTGCGGCTCCCACAAGTTGACTCGCAAGAAACTGAAGAAAATATCCACGAGTTGCATCAGTTCGTTGGAATCCTTGCATCCTTGGATAGCAGTGCGAAGAAATTCCAATGCATCTACCCGAGCCTGTTAGCAAGGGAACCAAAGCAAAACATTTATGCATAGATACAAAAAGGAAAAGAGAAGCGAATGACGGTGAAAGTCCATTGAAGCTTTGGTACGCTTGCGTTTGTTACTCCAACGCATCCACCTAGCGAGTTGGGCATATCCTGAGGTAGCAAGGATTTCTTCCAGGTTGAATGAACCCTATCGCAGCAGTGTGTCAAGAACTATTCTTTTATAAAGTTCCTCTAAATACACGCATTAGAATGATTCGATATGAACCTCCTGCAGTCACACAGCGTCTCGTACCGTTGGCACTGCCCTACAAGTACCGCCATGGAGACTTACAAATCCTTTTCGAACAGTAACGGACTAGTTTTTAATATAAAACTCAAGCTAAATGATAAGGTGGCTGATGATTCGATAATACAGAAATGTCCGGATGGCGAAGAGCAACTTACAGAGTGGCAAATCGTCAAGGTAATATAGATGGCTTTGCAAGAGCTGCCAACACGGTCACAGATTCAATACGGGATGTGAAGTGTGAAAAAAATTATCACTCCAGGCATGGAAAACTGATCAGCGAGTTGATTACTTCCGAAATGGGAGTTTGCAGAAAGTGCATCCTAACCTCCCATATTTCTTCCTTGCAATTCATACATATTACGGTCATAATTTTGTATGAACATCAAAGAATCTGTTTATCCATATGGAGCGTTATGGGGACGAAAGCGATTTTATCCCGCCGAAATTCAACGAATCAGCTGTATCGTTTTTTGGAGTTCGGTTACAAATTAATCTTGGTCCAAAATAGATTAATCCCGCTACAACACGCTAACAGCAATAGTTGGAGCAGGATTGTCAGACGTAACTGCTTTGGTTAAACCTAGCACTATATGCAGGTAGCCTTCAAACGTTGGACACATAACTGAAACAAACCGTTTGTTTCAATGCTTCACCTCGAACTTTAGAAAACTGACTAATTGGAAATGTACGTGAAATGGCTGGCAGAGTTTGCGTTAAGTATAGTACAACTGATATGAATGGATTGTCGGTACCCGCAGTTATAATTGTCAAATTTCCCACCAAAACATCTGGAGTTCGAAGGCTATCAAATTTGTGATGGGGTGTGAGCGATGAGAACGGTTCAGGATTTTTCAGGTCATCCCAGGCCGAAATCGCGTCTCATAAAGAGGACCACATCCAATGTTATGGTGTTACTTTTGTAAAATCAAAAATGCGATCCTCAAGACGAGAAATGTTTCTGAAGGACACTGTCTACAGAACTTAAGTGACTTCCAAATACATAGTTGAGCCTAGCAGCTTTGACTGCATTGAAAACATCACCGTGTACGATGGGTTCAGGAATGTCACAATCTCTATGATTTGTGATAAAGCGACAATAAGGTACACATTCAGCCAACGACAGAGATAACTATGCTTTGTGAAAACTAGTAACTGGGGATTATGGTGCAGTCTGACAATGGACGATAGTGAGGTGACATTCCGGCAATTTCGAAAAGTGACACTCCGATCCCGATACATTCTAACAGTACCTCAGCCAAGAAGTTTCCACCCAAAAATGCTGCTTTAAGTCATGTTGCTGGATTGCGCACAGTGGAAAAAGATTTGTGAGGTTCGGACAGGGTAGAGAGCAGTGGAGAGCCCAGAAAACGGGCCACTGGATTTGAATATCGAGGTTCACAACTTTGTAGTAAGTGGAACAAAATATTTACCAAAATGCATCCACAATGGAGTCAGCTATATCAAACGGCGGGATTAGTTTGCTGAAGCACAGTACCTGTATATCGTGGCACGTCAAAATTTGCCGCAGCAACCGGTAACAAGATGACAGACCAAAATTGAACCGTTTGCGTCCCTTCTGTCCGGCCTGTAAAGCCAGCCGATAGCAGTCAAACAACAACGATATGCAAACATTAGGCTGACCTACAAAAGGGAGACGAAAGTAAGGTAAGACGGAAATGACGCGAAGATTCGAAGAGCAGCTGTAGATCGATGGGTCGCATCAGTTACAAACTCACTGAAAACCAAAAATAGGCTTATGTATGTCAAATGCACATTTCCCACTATAGCTCAATAGGATATAGAGGTGCACCGCTTCAAGGTTCAGTCTCTTCGTGAACCTTGCTGTAACTATGCTATCAGAGTCACTGCGCTTTCGATGCATCTTCCGTTGCGAACAGGGAAGTTTTCTGCGGTTTTCTTACAGTTTTCCACAAGGAACGGTTGCTACAGGGGAGAACGTTTGTTGTCGCGAAATCTTCCATATTATGGAAGGTCGACTTCTTGGCGATTGAAGTTACCGTAATTTGAGTGCGACCAATTGACGTGGTCGAATGCTTGTGGAAAATATGTGCGAAATGATTGGCGAAAATCTGGAGCTTGGACTGAATATTTAAATTAGGACGACTCAGATCAGACGGATTTGGCTGGTGACCCAACAACGGTAGACTGAACACACTGAAATATAAAAACACTGCTGGAGAAAATACCTAAGCTGTTTAACTGGGCCAATGTATCGCTATTCTACCATGTCCAGCCATGAGGTAATTTGTGTACGGGGTTGATCGAGTTTCTGCACCACCCGGAAACAGTCTTGTGTTCTCGATGGGTAAGTGGTTTCCACGATGGTGCAATGACGAAACCAGAGGAGCTGTTAACACGTAATTACATTGCAACCTGGATCCCTCCTTACAAGCAACGTATGCTGGAAAGCCGTATTATATTACGGTTTCATACCTTTTGGGGACCATCGGTGAGGTGATTTAACAGACCCCCAAAAGAATTCGAATCCACGACAATCTGTCTCCTGTAACGTTTGAATACATCATTCGGCCATCAAGGGCTGGTGGTGACGAACTCGCACGTGGACAGAACATACCGTTAGTATCCCTGTCAGGCAGTTTGTATGAAGCTGATAAGTATTGAAGAAGTTATTCGGTAGGATTGCAACGAAAGTTAATGTTGTTTCCATCAATGCGCGGATGTGGACTGCCATAAAGCAAATAATAGTATCGGGCCGGTTGATGAGAAGTGAGTCAAGCAAGAGCAGGATGAAACTCAAAAAACAGAAAGTCAAAAAGCCCTATTTGAAAAAAAGACTCAAGCGCATTTTTACATACTTTCATTGATCGTTTCAATCATCTCCGAGAGAAGAGATAGATCAACGGAGGCCAGTTTCGGGAGAATGTACTGTGAAAATGAAGGGAGGGTCGCCGTAACTATCGAACAACAATCAATGAAAATAGCGAGGACACATAAACATCACGTCAATTGGACAGTGAGCGCAGGCAAACTAACAATTGCTGAATAAAGACGAGGAGATAATGAAAGCGCAAGGCTTTTATTATCTCTTCAGTGGTCGACTGTATCTTCTTTTCGAGTTGAAATTCCTAGCCTTGTTGATTTCTCCTTTCTGATTGTGGGACGCCATTGGCACGCACCACGAATGCGCTCTTCGACAGTTTATCCTACGCGCAGAACAAACACTGTCACAAACGCCTACTTCAGTTGCCGTTATGACTGTTCACAAACCGAAACAACCCAATCAAACGGACCCGTCAGTTGGCTGCCGCCACCAGCAGTCAGGATTACTACTGATAATAACAATCGTTCATCTGTAGCACCCTTTCGGTGCCTAACTGCAATGCCACCCGAAGGTTGCACGACGGCTGGGATACTGCCACGTTGCCCAAGCCTAGACAGGGGAAGTCGAGAAGCGGAGGTCGGATTCGAAGCACGGACCTTCTGGCCGGCAAATTCGCGCTCTAACCACTTGGGCCATCTCGCCCCCAGCGGTCAAAATTTTGTCATCATATTGAATTGCTCGGGCGTCCCAAAGTAGTATGCATTTTATTCATTCTAATATTCAGCGTGATTCTAAGTTTGGACAATTTTTCGAAGGATACCATCACTTTTGCTCATGTTTGAGGCATTTATTGCCTCTTCACATTTAATAACCGCGTGGAATTTAGGCTTCACCATTGACCTTGCCATATTCATTCGAGCATTCGGGGAAAATCATAATGAGATGATCGAGTAAAGCGAAGAAAAACTTGGCATTGACCGAATGACCGATTGGAGGTTGGACCAACAACTACAACAGCGGGACGTACGGCGGTGAGGCATCAGTGTTGAACACTGATGTTGTGCTGTCGATGGTGATGATGATGACAGCTCTACTGAAAAGTAATCAAAATCCTGTAGCAAGGATTTGCTAGCAAAATTTAGAGTCAGACAACGAAACGTACCAGCTGGCATTCGGCTTCCGTTATTAAACGAATGTTCCAAACGCCTATACACGATTATGCAAGAGTTGAGTCAAAGCATCATTCGACCACTGGAGTCACTTCCGACATACTACGCTGGTCCCTGGAAAACCTGCATTTAGAAGATTGTCAGCCTGTTCCAGAAAACTTCACGCTACGCTTCCAATCCCCTCGTCTCCGTAGATGCTTGGCTGTTACATCACTGTTCACTTCCCACTCTCGTGTGTTTTGTTCACAGGTATCCCCGTCTTAACGACAACGCATACAAGCGCAGATAAAGACCCAACTTCATGATAATGATGACCCTAAGGGTCACTGGACAGATCCAACGAAAACACAATTTGGAACTTCTAGTGCCAAATATTAGCAAAGCAATCTAAGTAGAAGGGTTACAATCCACATCCTTGGTAAGAAGGACTGACACTGTTTTGGAATATGTATAGAAGATCGATTGACATTGGTGTAGTTACATCGAAGCCGTAGAGAACTCAACCAGAATTCACCAAGTTGCTCTGTAGGAGTCCAAAACTCGTGTCCATCAGATGAACCCCTTTGAAGCTAGCAAATGCAACGCCCCAGTTATCAATTTTGGGACTATAAGGTGAAATGATAACTACAAGTTGTCATTCTGGCATAATACAAAGACACCCTTACAACAGACAAGTTTTGCAACGTGGATTTTCGAGTACAGCCATTCACGAGACCGTTAATTGACCCTCAATAGAAAACGTGAAAGTAGCCGGCCTTTGTCTTTAGCATCGATCGGCTGTCACACTAAAACGGCCGAAATATCGACAGCAATGCTGCTCCGCCACGGGGTGAAACTAGAAAACTTTTCTAAAAGCTGCTCAAACATTATACAGTCGTAATCCGTATGTAAGGCACTAAATCAAGGCGACAAGGGGTAGCAACGTGAGATAAGCAATCGCGCTTCTAGTTCCCTATTATATTTTTCATTGTAACATCCGTCTTCAGTTTTCGACTACTTCAGGCAGCCCAAAAGTATTTAATAAAACCGGAAGACAGGGTCTGCTGAATTTTACGAGTGCTAGGCTTGCTCAGATACTACTATATCTCCTCCACACACAGAGACCAGTACCGAATATTCGCAGCACAAGCTGAAATCGAAACCTTTCAGCTTGTTGCACCTTCCGTATGTTGTAAGGTGCAACTAGAGACAACTGAGAAGTTTCGTCAACGAGAAGCATACTGATTGTACTCCCTGGGAGGAAACGTCTCCAGTCAAAGCGGCGCGTTGGCATCACTGAAGGCAACTTCTCCAGATGGAAGGAATAAGAATGACCTAACAAACCACTTGAATCCCCATTTACCTTGGATGGCATAGCATGTGTGTATATGAAACAACTGGGTGTCCAGTGGTCGGATGCCAACCCGAGGGTTGAGAAAGTTGTGTGGATATGTACCGATTCACCAGGTACTCGAAAGAATACCGGGGCGATGTGAACAAGAGTAAATTGTATGTAAATTGGCCTCAAGAACGAACAACGAGTTGTAACAAATTCCCATACCTGGTTAATACTGGCTCCGTATGTTTCGTAATCCTGTCCAGCTAAAGTAACCAGGGGCTTCAACCACGAGCGAAGCAGAGATGCATTCGTTATAAGCAGCCGATTGGCAATGAGAACATGCAGTTCGGCTACCTGGAGAAGCAGCACAAAGAGGTATAAAGCAGCCAACTATGCATCTACATTACCATGTCAATAAATAATATATTCAAGAGAGGTGACTAGAGGAATGTATAACCATAGGACTAACTGAACGCTAAGTATCCAAGGGAAGTGTGTTAAACCTTATATACTGCTGACCAGTTACTTGAAGTCACACGTCTTGATCTCACTATAAGGAGCTTAGACAGTAAAATCTGTTTGGATCCCCAAGAGGGGAATCCAAACCTCTCAGATGAAGTTCACTCGGATGGTTGATTTGGTCCTATATGGCTCACCGGAAAAGCATAACTTGGTAACATTGGTACCAATGTAGTATAGAGCAAAATCAAACAAGATAATGGGATATTTGGGGCTCACATAAATGGCAAGACTAGGGTCAGCGGCACACATCAGCAAACGTGAAGCGACAAAAGCTGATGAGGATTCCTGACGGTCTTCGGAGTGGTTATCTTCGACGAAGCGGTCGAGCAACCAAGAAACAGAGTACTTCGTTTTTTGGAAGATCAATTCCACAAGCCTAGTTAGCACGTTCAAGGTCCCGCGAAGTAGCCAGGAACTGCGACCCATGTGAGAAAGGATTTCACTAACCACATCACAGCAATCAGACCCAGAGAAGCTACAACAAACTTTGGAGGTCATTGTAAAATTCAGCCACAGTCTTACCATTGCAGTATGTCAGATGTGCTCTCAACAAATTCTCGAATGTCTCCACACAACAATGACGTATCACCTAGACAAAGAGTAGAAAGTAATGATGATATACATACCGAGACAGAAGAACTCTTCATTTCCAAACTAAACCTCAGAAGGTCAGATATGGGTGGCTGCTTGAGGCCGATTCCAGAAACTTGACCATCGCCCCTACCCTTTAATTGTAGGGACATGTTGCTAGAAGTAACGTTAGAAAAAAACTCATGGTACCTGTAACGTGAACTCCAAGTCTGTCCTATTTTGGCCAGGAAGTATAACTCTGTCGTGTCCATTGAACTGACCGGTAAATTTGTGTTCGTGTAGTGCAAAAATGCTTCGGTAAGAAGACTGAGTGGAAGACAGCCTGAGTCGGTTGGGCTGTCTGCCCATTGTTCCGCAGATAAGCTGCCCAAAACGGCGTAAATTATGACCAGACGCCGAGCTTGAAAATTTCCATCATAAAGTAATTGGCGAAGCAGATCAAAATAAGAGTGAATGCGTTGAACTGGTGGAACATTAGATTCTTGCAGAACTTGCAAAGTCTTGATGAGAACACGAAAAAGTCACCGGGGAGTTCCTCACTTACAGAATGAGCATAGGCGTTTGAGTCCTCGAATCGGAAAATTTGTATCAGGAAGGTGAAACTGGAAAGCATACTGTCCATCGAGGTGAGGCCTTTAAGGTAATGTGCGAGTACAAAAGCAGGATCAGAACTACTCACGAAGAACTGAAGCCATGCATGGCAATAATGCCTTCAGATTTTGTATAACCTCTGGCGTCGACGCAGCTTTGGACAGAAAGTAGGTCAGCATGTGCAAACATAAGCACAAGTCTTCATCGAAAGACAAATTTTCTGTAGAACAGAAGCTAACTCAGTCGAGGATGATGGGGAGAAAGCACTTTACCATGCTAAGGGAAGAAGTTCACTAGACACGTAACAAAAAACTTTATTGCACAAATATGTGGAAAAGCATGACCCTACCTTTGGCGTAAGTAGTAGCATCTGATGGCAGGACTGAATATCAACCGACGAGATTAGGAAATAAAACGTATACCTACCGGATTTTCGACGAAAAATTTTGTCAATTATGGTTAGGCGTGTATGTCGATCTGGTAGACCAGAGCAGACACTCAACGTGACATCAACCAGATCACTTTCTTCGTTCAGGCTGTCATGAACACATATAAGTCCGAATAAGGCTTACACAGGGAGTGTCACATTTTGACATTGTTGCAAACATCGTACGAGTTCATTTCGGAACTTAGATAGTCGAATGTCACCCATAGATCTGGAAATAGAAGCACCCAAGTGTGACAGATAAAGGAAGCACCCCACAGGCAGAAGACAAAGGAATACGAGTATGACCAATTCAGGCCTATACATAAATACACTCAGCCGAATGCAAGTGTGCAGTTTGACAAGAAACTAACAACGTAACTTGAACCTGAAACCTGCGTAGAGCAAGCACTCCAGTTGAACTTCGAAATTTCTATAATGCCATACCTGTCATGCTCGAGCATCAACTGAACTTAAATTTAGGGAATCAGGAGGTCATTCATGTTTACACCTACAAACCATCTACCGAAGTAGTAGTTCCAACTGCTATAACTTTGCCAACAAGAGAGGCTAAGGAAAACAACGTGCTGGAGGCAAGTTCATTGACGTCAAATTGTTCTGTTTGTTTAATATGACAGGGAATGACAGAACTAAGCAGTAGAGGAAATAGCTGTGATGCAGCATCGCCACTGGCTGCATTACAGCCATACCTGTTAGTCACAAACCTTTGGTGTCTCGCTCCTGGAGCCCCATTGGAGGAGACGGAAGTTACTAACACGACCGAGTTGTAAGCTGGCCACTCTAGATCATCTTTACCAGAATTGTCACGAAGACACTGGACCTCATCGTGGTGTGAAGGCTTGAGCACCTCAGCGATCCATTCAGCTATACTGGAGGTGTGCCCGCGACATTCACAGAGTATCTCATACCAAGTTGCTCAAAGGTTACAGTTCTGACGAACACAGTCTCCTGGTCCTCCAGGTTGGGCGTTGGAACATGTGGCGACTTGTTCCGTAGAAATGGTAGTGCATTTGCATTTCCCGTCAAACATCGCTGCTTCCCAGTTAGGCTTTTTAGCCAAAAGCTTTGGTTGAGGAGCACAATCGTCCTTTTGTCTGGGTGTGGGCGTCCTGACAGTATCCCAGCCCATGTACAACCATGATACCTACGTCCAACAATAATTTCATGACACATCAGCCGGGTCACCTTACCCGCTGCATTCAGCAGGGCGTGTAAGCGATAATAGGCTGCTCTGACGCTTCCCTTCTTTCTCTTTCACTTACTTCCTCTCCCCCTCTCCCCACCCAATCAATAGCTCTCCCTTTGGAGGCCCAGCACTGAGAACTGATGACTCCGTTCACCTTGATTCGGTTTTGCGTGCAGCATCTGCTCGTCAAGCGGCGCCGACATCCGCAGGTATCTCCAAATCAATCTTGAAGTCTCGACACCACCTATCTGGCCGCCTTCAACGTCCGCACTCTGAAGCAGGCAGGACAAAAAACTGCTCTTGCTCTCACACTGGACTCGCTTGGCATTGATGTGTGTTGTGTCTCAGAAACAAGACTTCAAGATGCAAGCACAGTGGTTGAGCTAACCACCCCATCAGTCTCTGCTCGCTTCCGGCTGCGGCAGCGGGATGTTCAGGGGTCGTTATCGTCCTAAGTCATCAGGCGGAAGTATCCTTCCTTGACCGGATTCCTATTGATAGTCGCCTCTGCACGGTTCGTCTACAAACGCCTGTCAAGGACTTTCATAAGCGGGAAGCTGATTGTTGTCTGTTTGCCGTGTCCGCTTACGCCCCAACTGACTGTGGCTCCGACACCGTCAAAGACAGGTTTTACGACGCCCTGAATGCCCTGCTGCGGTGAGCCAAAAGCCCAGATATCGTGGTGGTTACCGGAGATTTGAATGCACAAGTGGACAGGCTTAGTGCATCAGAGACTTACTTAGGAGGTCGACATGGACTGGACTCAGTATGTACGGACAATGCTGAACGATTGCTTCAGCTGTGTACTGATCGCAGGTTGTTTCTGTTATATAATGACGTTGTGTTTAACTTTTTACTCGCTACTCGTTGAACTAATCGTGTTTCTCAATGTTTTAGCTGATGTACCGGAATTGTTAGAAGCTTAAAGTCAATCATTCGGCAATCCTCGTTCTCTATTTCTGGCGCAACAATTTAATCTTCTAACAAAATACAATGGAGCGATTGCTTCGCCCACATCGGTTTGACGCAGATCCCCAATCCCCTTCTGCTTCAGAACAATGGATCCATTGGCACGAAACGTTTACAAATTTCCTCCCATGCATCGAACTCCTAAACGTTGACAAAAGAAAACTTTCGGTCAATTTTTTCCGTTCGTCTATCAACATATTCGTGAATGTACTACTTAAGAAGACGCCATCCAGACGCTCGGAACGACGTACATCAAATGAAGTGTCTTCTCGCCACGTGCTGGCTACTACCAAACAAGAACCGGGTCAATTACGTTGCCTTGCCGAGGAATGCAATTTTCGCGCGGTTTCTGCCGATAAACATCACGATGAGGTTATTCAAGACGCTTTTGTCACAGGCTTGCAGTCTAATTCCGTTCGCCAACGACTACTAGAAAAACACTCTTACGCTTCAACAAGCGCTTCACGAGGCACGTCTGCTTGAACATGCTCAACAAGAGTCACTCTCATACGACTCGTCTTCTCATGTTCCCTGTGGTACCGCATCTATCAAAACTGATAAACCTCTTACTCCTGTTCGTGATGCACTTATCTCTCAGACTGACTCTAATGATGCGATTGCAAGCACATCTTTATCTTGCTTCTTCTGTGGCAACGGTAAGCACATTCGTTCAAAATGTCCGGCTCGTGAATCCTTCTGTCATTCCTGCGACAAGAAAGGTCACTTCCAAAAAGTTTGTCGATCGAAACCGAGTTCAAGTCGTATCACATCGACGGTGAACCCTGGTGTCTCATCCATTTTCAACATCTCTTCATCCATTGGACTTTCCAAATCAATCGTTGGTGTTATAGTGTTATAGCGCTTCCTTCGGGTGGTATGGCAGTTAGGCACCGAAAGGGTGCTGCGGCTAGACGATTTTTTTCGAGTTGAACGTTATGGTGAATAATTTCCCACTTCATGCTATTATCGATACAGGTAGCTGCCAAAGTTATATTTCTTCTGACATCGCACTGAAGCATGGTTGGACAATAACATCTTCTAAGAGCGCTATCTCGATGGTTTCAACGAATTTATTATATGTTACTAGCGGTCATCTTTATGCGAAAGCACGCAATACGAAGATGTCAAACTCTCGCTCTTGTCCAATTTGTGTTCAGACGTCATCCTTGACTTGGACTTTCTCAGCCAACACCAAAGTGTGGCCATACCGTTCACGGGTAAACGCCTCCCCCCCCATTGGCCGTAAGCACAGTGAAAGCAGAGAAAGTCAATGCTCCTTCTTTGTTTGATAATATCGCCCCTAGGTGTCCTCCGATTGCCACAAAATCTCGTCGTTTCCCTCGCGCGGATACGGTATTAATCGGGACGGAGATTCGGAAGCTACTAGTTGACGAAATTGTTGAGCCGTCTAACTCTCCTTGGCGCGCCCAGGTTCTCGTCACTGCAAATGAAATGCATAAGAAGTGCATGATCATCGATTACAGTCAAACCATAAATCGCTTCACTTACCTTGATGCGTATCTTCTGCCGAAGGTGGAGGAACCCGTAGAGAAGGTCTCCCATTACACGGTGTTTAGAACACTAGACCTTCAAAGTGCGTACCACCAGATCCCCATTGTCGACAAAGACAAGCCATATACTGCATTCGAGGCATGTGGTAAACTGTTTCAATTTCACCGTTCGGAGTTACTGATGGTGCGGCCTGCTTCCAACACACCATAGACAACACCATACGCGAGGAAGGTCTGCTTTATACATTCGCATATGTTGACAATGTTACCGTGTGTGGTCGCGATGCTCAGGAACATGATCGAAACTTGAAGAAATCCCTACAGGCCTCAAAACGTCACAGTATTACATTTAACCAGAAAAAGAGCATCATAGCTAATGCGAAAGTGCTATTGCTAGGATACGAAATATCTCACGAAATGATAAAACCGGAACGTTTTCGAGCCCTATGGGAGTTGCCTCATCCATGTGACATCCGTTCACAACGAAGACTGGTCAGAATGCCGGCATACTACGTACACTGGATCTCATGTTTCTCAGATTAGATTCATCCAATAGTCCGCAATCAGATTTTCCCGATAGAGTACAAGCATTTTTGAATAATCTCAAACACAATTTGGAAAGAGCCGCCGTCTTCACAATAGACTACGCTCGTCTACTCGTTGTGGAAACTGATGCTCCCGACATAGCCATTGCAGTCACTCTCAATCAAGACGGGCGCCCGGTAGCTTTCTTTTCACGCACTCTGTCATACAGTGAGCGTCAGCTTTCAGCGATCGAGAAGGAAGCGTACGCGATTGTTGAAGCACTGAGAAAATGGAGACACTATTTAATCGGCAATCAAATCAAGGATCAACGATCAGTCGCCTTTATGCACGACAGACAACACAAAGGCAAAGTGAAAAACGACAAAATTCAGAG